TAAATTTAGTTTTAGAAATGAATTTTTGCTTTTATTTATTACCTTTTTTCGAGTAGAAGACGTGTTAAAATTTTTTGCTTTTTCCTTTTGCGGACATTTGGCAACGACCCTGGGCCCACGGCCGGAATTTATAGTTAGTATATATTTCTTCCGATATACATAAAGTATGAAAAGATCAGACGATATGAACAGGTATGAAGTTAACCATGTTAATAGCAGCTGTTTTCATGGTGCTCTTGTAGAGTCCTTAAGTGCCTATGCTGTATTGAACTATCGTTAATGCCTTCTTGACAGCATTCAGCATTTCTTCCAAACGTTCTGAAATTATGATGTTACCATTGACTGACGAGCGAGCAAATGCTGACGACTAGCGGCCTGAGGAGATTGTCAGAAAAACTATAAAACCAGCACCTGACTTGAGTTTATAAACCGACCCGAATGTAAATGAAAATGTAAAATGTAGAAACACATTGTCGAAGAATGTGATGAACAATGGATCTTTGTTCTGCTATTGCAACCAATGATCTTTAATGCAATCCGGAGGCGCCATTTCCATCTTATCAGACGTCATCAGTCTGACCAGAATTGCTGTTTCATCCCTATTAAGTTTGAATCATTGTTAATACAATTACAGCTGCAAGATATTTCTCTTAAAATGATCGTTTTAAAGGCATAATAGATTGGAGGCAATTGTTTGGTTAAGTTATTGCTAATCGATAAAAGTGCTACAGGTTGATCACTCTGTTTAACATCGGACAGACAGTGGAGAGACCGTGAGTTCAAATTCCAATCGTGTTACTCATCTTTCTGCTTCCGAGGTAGATAAATGACTATCACTTAGTGTTAAAGGAAAGTGGAGGATACACGTTATACTTGATACATGGCTATAAATATGACCTTTACAATGAGACATTCGAAACTGATAGTGTAGAAACATAGATAAAGGCCGCTTCATAAGCTCCAAGAAAAGAATGGTAGCGGAAATGGAAGTGTACTGCAGATTGATATTCCAACGGTTACAAACTTTCCTTTTTGCTTTTTGTTTGTCCGTTTTTCCATGGGCGAGTTTTCATGGCTACCGTAGGAGAACGTATCCCGTTGTATATCACTGGATTAGCATGATAGCGTGCGATTACGTCCGTTGATCATTCCTTTATCTTCTACAATGTTGTAGTTGGTTGGTAGAGGAGAGTGTGTTTAGCAGCCAAGCTTATATCGTTCGATAAGAGCCTTGCCTGTTTCGGTCATGATACCTTCACGTTAAAAATATGAAATATGGGGTGACTCTGTTACCATTTGTGTAACGTTGCTGGGCGTTTGACTGTGCTATAGCAGAAGAAAACGATATGATAATATTCGATAATATTCGATTAGTCAAAATATTCTACTTCATAATGCACTTAAAATTAAGATTGTTGAAAACCAGTTTGCCTGATCGTTTTCATGAGTTGCTAGGATTCGGTGATTATGGCTCAAATAGGCCATCGATGTTTTAGAATATTTTTTCCCACTGATCAGCTAACGAATGTTGCTTGGTCGCAAAGTTGGCATGAAAATAAATACCTAGGTATCGGTCACCAGATAGACTTATAAATATCGAATGCTGGTTACTCATTTCTAGGCATATGTAGTCACAGAATCAGCGCAAGTTAGGACATTCTTTGCGTGTATTTTGTGTATATGTTTTCATTTTAGAAGCCGCTTGACGCTCGATGATTTCGAAGTCGGAAAACCCTTGGGTAAAGGCAAGTTTGGAAGCGTGTATTTAGCGAGAGAGAAGCGGTCGCACTATATCGTTGCTTTGAAAGTGAGTTTTATTCCTTGTTCTCACTTTTGGTAGTATCTTCTACGCATAGCATGTTTCTTCACTTTTGTTCCTTTCAAAGAAATTAATACGGGTCACGACACGAAGCTGATATACATCGTCTGATGCCATTGCTTACAGCAAAGCTTCTTGCGTTCATGCGTAATTTTGTGCTAA